CTCTCATTCAGAGTCTCTTCACTCAGAGTCTTCTTTCATTCAGATTCTTGATAATATATGCAGCGTGTTGTATCTTCAGAATCTTGATGACTAAGCTCTTATACTTCAGATTCTTCTAATCTTCAGATGCTCTTGAGCCATTCAGAATTTATAGTTCACATCAAATTTGCTCTTTAAGATTAAGATCTTTTGTGTCTGTAGAAAACAGTTTAGAACAAATTTAGAGAGTATAATTCTTGTATACAAATTATCATTAATGTTATCATCAAAACATAGAGATATTACTAAGACACAATCTGTGCTCTTACATGCTTGTGTATTATTTCTTGTTCTAAAAGGCTCCAAACGTGCTTCTGAAGGAAATAATTAAGATGTAGAGAATTTTTTTGCGGGGTAGATGTGAGAACAAACTCAAAGTTAATTAGATCAATTTGACGTTAATTTGTAATTTAAAGGAGTGGGGTTTAGGTTTGAAGCATAGCAAGAGATTCAAACAAGTGGCATCTCTTTGTATTCTTAATGAGGAAAATTCCATTTTACCTAATAAAAATAATAATTCTCTATAGTTGAAATGTAATTTTTAATAATTTTACCAAACAAAAACTGATTTTTTTTAGTGAAAATCAATTATTATCCAAACCGATTCAACATAAATCGATTTTAAAAAATAAATCAATTTTATCAAAATAATTTTAAAAACCAAACTAATCTATTTATTTAGTTCAATTTGGTTTAGTTTAAGAACCATATCCACCCTAATTAATCATCTAAAAAGTTCATCCATATAATAGAACTAGACTTCACACTACGATGATCACCCTTAATATATCTAAATTATAAGTAACTCGTTTTATTAATAAAATATAATAAAATAACTTTGTGTTTAAATTCATAGTCTCAAAATGAAGCATTTTGTCTCTTCTCCAACATTCAACATAATATAACAGATGCTTTTTGATAGGTTTAAATTATATAATTATTTAGTTTTTTACATCAAATTAATTTATTAACTAGACTGATATGTTTTTCTTAAAAATCTGTTTCACTTTTATAAAATGAAAGTGAAAGATAGACGGAGTAAAAAAGAATGATAAGTATAAAATAATATACAGAAAGTGAAGATGGACGGAGTAAGAAAAAATGATAAGTGTAAAATAGTATATAGAGAACAGTTTTTTGAAAAGGTGAAACAAAAGAGAATTTTGTGTGTGTGTGTGTGTGTATATATATATATATATATATATATATATATATATATATATATATATATATATATATATATATATATATATATATATATATATATATATATATATATATATATATATATATATATATATATATATATATATATATATATATATATATATATATATATATATATATATATATATATATATATATATATATATATATATATATATATATATATATATATATATATATATATATATATATATATATATATATATATATATATATATATATATATATATATATATATATATATATATATATATATATATATATATATATATATATATATATATATATATATATATGTAAGAAAGGTTGAATATTATGGAATTATTCAATTTTGATTTTTTTAATTAAAAATTAAAACTTTTTTTTTACAGTTGGTTAACATTTTTGTTTCATAATTATTACTTATTAATTCAATTCATTAAATTATGAAATTTTAAGAAATGTTTATGAGATTCAAGGATTTTATTGCCGACAAAGAGATATTAATTTCAAAAACGGTTGGATGAAGTTAAGAAATTGGGTTGAAAATTTAATTTTAGTCAAAACAAATTTGAGAGAAACTTGATTTTAAAATCGGTCCAAATAAAAATTGATTTGTTTGATGAAAATTAGTTATTATCCAAACCGATTCAAACATAAATCGATTTTCAAAAAATAAATCAATTTTATCAAAGTAGTTTTAAAAACCAAACTAATCTATATATTTCGTTCAATTTGGTTTGGTTTAAAAACCATCTCTACCCTAATTAATCATCTAAAAAATTCATCCATATAATTGAATTAGACCTCACACTCCTATGATCACGCTTAATATATGTAAATTATAAGTAAGTCTTTTTATTAATAAAATATAATAAAATAACATTGTGATCGTTTATGACAATTGTTGGACAGTAAACATAAACAAATACAAGAAAAGAGAATGAAAATAAAGTCTAGAAGACTGGCTTACTCTTTAGAATAATCAGTAGGCTTAAAGGACACCTTCTTTGCTTGAAGATCATATCCAACCAACAAATTTTGTTGGGCCAAATTTCCGAAGATGGCAAGATCTTTATTAGCGGATTGAAATGCAAAACAAGCAATGTCATCAGAAATTTGAACAAAAGTACTAATAGGTCGCAACAAAACATCCGCACCTTGGAAGTGCGCAGTGATTAAAGGAAATTCAGGTTCTTGGGAAGTGCAAGAATAAAAGATGAAGGAAGTAATTTTTTTTTTTGACATTATCTATTGCATCACCCAAGGATAGGTAATGATCCAAGTTTAAGGGCGTGATAACTCACTATTCGTGAGAGATTCAAGCCTTTAACACTTGACTTTATTTTGTTACTAGCAAGATTTATTGGGTTTATTTGAGTCCATTTTCCCACTTTAGGTAATTTTGTAAAGAACATTATATATGTTCTCTTTTGTGAATTTTACGTGTTTGTCACTTGTGTAGGACTCCTGCATAATAAGTTCTGGCACAACATAACTGGAGTACCAATTTAACCTTAATTTCCACCAAATTCTTAGATGCAAAGAAGGTTATAAGGAATGAAGGTCTATCAAGTTAGGGCAAACGTCAAAACAATGTGAAGATTATAGTGCATGTAATCTGAAAAACTTGGATGGATAAGATCAAGAACTACAAAATAAAATGCTGCAAAAGCTTATATGCATAAAATTATGCGTGTTGTTATCTATCTGCGCAACAAAACTGCCACATAACATGTTGTCCTCCACATGTTCGAATTGTACTATCTAAATTTAATTTGAAGGAAAAGATAAGGAATATGTTGTAATTAGCGGGCCAAAACAAAGAATATCCACAAGGCCCATGATCCAATCACAAGTCAAAACCCTAAATTAAAGAGTATAAAAGGAACCTCTTGGACAAAATAGAGAGAGGTTTAGAAGTTGGAAATTTGAGAAATTTCTCTAAAAAAATTATCTTACTGAAGAAGAAGAAGAAGAAGAAGAAGAAGTATGAACCAATATTGAAGAGTTTATTCCTTTCTCCCTCCATTGAAGAAATGTTGAGCATCTTGGCGTGACAAAACTTGCCTCATCTTGATTTCAATATTTCAATGAGTAGAGTGTCATACTTAGTTTTTCATTTTCTTTTAATTTATGTTTAGAAATGTTGAATGTAAGAACTTGTGTTGTTGCATTTCTTTTAATCATCATGACTTAAACTTTTTTATGTTGAACAATGTGAAATTTAATTAAAATTAGTATTTTGTGTTAACATTGTGTGGTTTGAAGTGATATATTTTACTATGTCAAATAATGTTATACGTCTGTTTCTTTGCTTTATCACCTTAGAGATAGGTAAAAGATGGTTAAGGGTTAAGAGATATATTAACTAATGACCTTCACAAGTAAATATGTCGAAAATAGTAGGATATACATATTCACTAGATTAATCACTTTAGAGATAAATGACTACAACCATAGGAGAAATCAGAAGATGCAAATAGACATGCTCTAATGTTATTTGAGACCTCGAGAGTTATTCTCTTGACTTAATGCATATGCCTTGATTTTGTAGACATGCACCACTAGATGGATTATTTCCCAACATGCATCTTATTATTGATTTAACTTCTTTATAATCACTTATCATTTATTGTATTTCAACTTGAATCTATAACAATACAATATTGTTGTTACCTTTTCGCTTATGGCTATTCATAAGATTTTAATGTGAGAATCAATTTAAGTTATCACAAGTCCAATGGGATTGATACTTTTATTTTTACATCACTTGATACTATTTAACAGTGTATAATTGCACATATCAATAGCTCCTACAACACTTTGCAAGTTATTGGGTTGAACCAGTTTTTCGTCTGCATTGGGCCCAAAATTAAATATATCCTAACCATTTTTCAAGCCTTTAATCAAAGCAAAGCTCCCTCTCAAAAATGAGAAAAGGAAACGGGTCTTTCTCTTTTCAAGAAGGGTAATCATAAAATATGAAATATTTAACATCTCACCTTAAACGAAAGATATGACAAACACAAATAAAAAAAGAAAGAAATAAACAACTAAACAACTAAAAACTCATAAGGATCACACAGATAAAACACTTAATCATCTAAAAAGTTCATCCATATAATAGAACTAGACTTCACACTACGATGATCACCCTTAATATATCTAAATTATAAGTAACTCTTTTTATTAATAATTATTACTTATTAATTCAATTCAATTTTGTTGAATTATGAAATTTTATGATGATCACCGTTTGTTAACATTTTCTTTTCATAATTATTACTTATTAATTCAATTCAATTTTGTTGAATTATGAAATTTTAAGAAATGTTTCTCTGAGATTCAAGGATTTACCGCCAACGGGATATTAATTTCAAAATGGTTGGAGGGAGTTAAGAATAATTTATTAAGTTGAAAATTTATTTTTAGTCAAAACAAATTTGAGAGAAATTTGGCTTTAAAACGGTCCAAAACAAAAACTGATTTTTTTTTAGTGAAAATCAATTATTATCCAAACCGATTCAACATAAATCATATCCACCCTGGTTAATTATCTAAAAAGTTCATCCATATAATAGAAGTAGACTTCACACTAGGATGATCACGCTTAATATATCTAAATTATAAGTAAGTCTTTTTATTAATAAAATATAATAAAAATAACATTGTGATAGTTTATGACAATTGTTGGACAGTAAACATAAACAAATACAATAAAAGAGAATGAAAATAAAGTCTAGAAGACTGGTTTACTCTTTAGAACAATCAGTAGGCTTAAAGGACACCTTCTTTGCTTGAAGATCATATCCAACCAACAAATTTTGTTGCGCCAAATTTCCAAAGATGGCAAGATCTTTATTAGCGGATTGAAACGCAAAACAAGCAATGTCCTCAGAAATTTGAACAAAAGTACTAATAGGTCGCAACAAAACATCCGCACCTTGGAAGTGCGCAGTGATTAGAGGAAATTCAGGTTCTTGGGAAGTGAGAGTATAACAAAGGCTAAATAAATTATTAGGATCGTCAACACGCTCGAGTTTGACTAGTTTCGCGACTTCTGATTCAATATCAGCATAAATGTCGGGCGGTAGAAGCGTCAATGTTGTACCGGAATCAATGATAATGTTTCCCTCACCAACAGCATCAGTTGAGGATGATGATGATGATGTGAATTGGACTCTTTTGGATCCGACAGTAAATGATTCTAATGTCAGAAAGTAGAAAACCTCCTGAGAGGTCTTAGTAATAATAGGAGTTGAAACAACGCCAGTTCCAGAAACAATTGCAGCATCTCCGAAATTGAGTTTGCTGGTAACATTTGAAGAATCTGAAGTGAGCGATGATGGTGGTAAACAATAAGAGAATTTACCACCGATTTTGGATCCTAGTTGTGTTATGAAAGACACCGGTCCACCGCCGAGGCCAACTATACCGGAGCTTCGGCCTTTAAATGAAACAGTGTTGTCCGTTCCACATCCTATCACGGTTTTAGGAAATGAAACGGAAGCACCGGTTGTGGATTCCAATGTAAGAGTATCAACACTAAGATCTCCGTCTGAGTGTGATCCATCACCATAATTAATAGCATATTCACAATTGTTTTCGGCGTCGCATTCGGAACCTCTCACAGATTGACATACGTCGGAGGAACAAGGAATGTTTTTGTAAGTAGATGATTTTGTTGGGTTAAAAATAGGAGTGGTTTGGTTGAAACATGTTTCACAAGGCTGGCACTGAAGCCAAGCAATGTCACTGCCGGTATCAGCTATACCGACTAGCTTAAATGGTGGAGTTCCGACTGAATAGGTCATGAGATATCCACCGCCATCGGGGAGTATGGTTGATCGTGGTGTATCTTTTGCTGCATTGTTTGAGAAATGATTGACACGATTGATTGAACGACGTGCGGCGTTGATAATGCTTTGGTATTTGTTTTGATTAGGTTGAAAGAATGGTGATTTTTCGGAATCACGGTGGATGAGTTCAACACTAAAACCATTGTTGAGTGCATGAGAAAGAGAAACAATGAAACTAACAAGACAAAAGAACAACAAGGTTTGAAAGTTATGTGAACTCATTGTTGATATGGATGGGTTTGATGCAACTATTATGTTTTTAGGCATTTTTATAGAGGGTATGGACACGTAATTAAAAATACATAAATAGAAAATGTCAACATATAGTCAAAAAAAAAATTGTGATTATTAAGCTATCTTTTATAAAGGTTTAAATAAAAACGGTAAGATGATTAAAAAAAAAGTAGTATCATATCAGATACAATCAATTTGAGGCTATTATTAATTATTTGTTTTTTATTCAACATTGTACTCGTGATTTGTTCAAATTTAAAATCAAACAACAAATATTTTATTAATATTATTACCATATATTCATAATTAAAAATTAGGTGAGTGGTTCTATTGTACTATATCATGTCTAAATACATAAAAACAAGATAAGTGATAAACTTTAAACCGAGTACGTGAATGTAAGTCCAATATGTTAAAAAAAAAACATAATAGCAATTTTTTTTAAACTTAAATATCATTTTTCTATCCATTCCTTAAATTTCTTTATTTAGAGAATATTTTAATAATTATTATACGTCATTGCCAACATATACAACGGCTTCAAATATTTAATTAAGATAATAACTATATTTCTTTTAGTTGGATGAAATTTGTTGGCATGAAAGTCTATTAATATTTAAAATGAATTTTTGAGAAGAATGAATTTTGAGACTTTATATTAAAAACTATACATATTAACAATTTCAGTCAAATTTTTTTGTTTTTTTAAAACTCTTTTTAAAACTTTTCTATTATCATGATTCATAATATATATATATATATATATATATATATATATATATATATATATATATATATATATATATATATATATATATATATATATATATATATATATTATTTTTATATAAATTATGTAAAGGAAATAACAATCATGCTGATGTGACAATTTAAACAAACTTTTTCGTCTTTTAATTTTTTATTTTTTATTTTACTGATGATTTGTTCAAATTTAAAATCAAACAACAAATATTTTATTATTAATATTATTATTATTCATTACTATTACCAAATATTCATAATTAAAAATTAGATAAGTGATTCTATTGTACTATATCTTGTCTAAACACATGAAAACAAGATAAGTGATGAAACTAAACCGTGTATGTGAATTAAGCCCAATATGTTAAACAAACATAATAGCTTTTTTTTTTTAATGATGGTTCATAATATCTTTTTTTAACTTAAATATCATTATTTTTCTATGAATGTAATTACTACTGGAGATCCATTCCTTAAATTTCTTTATTTCTAGAATAATTTAATAACTATTATACATCATTACCAACTTATATAACGGTTTCAAAGATTTAATTAAGACAATAACTGCATTTCTTTTAGTTGGATGAAATTTGTTGGCATGAAACTTCTCAAATTTATAAAAGTCTATTGATATTTAAACTCTATCAATTTTAATGAATTATTGAGATGAATGAATTTTGAGACTATATTAAAAAGTACACATATTAACAATTTCAGTCAAATTTGCTGGATTTTTTAAAACTCTTTTAAAACTTTATATATATATATATATATATATATATATATATATATATATATATATATATATATATATATATATATATATATATATATATATATATATATATATATATATATATATATATATATATATATATATATATATATATATATATTCTAGACTGAGCCCAGACCTGCCCATCTGTCGGACAGGCTCAGTCTAATACTATTCGGAGAAGGCCCAATAAGGCCTAAAACCTCCAGTGTCGGGCATGACTCTACACACGTCAGACATGCAACCTCTCCCGTCGGGCAGAACAATACGTCCTCCACCTGCTCCATTCGTGGGGGCACGTCATCAGCCAACTATCCACCTCCGAAAGAGCTGGTTAGCCCATCTTCTAGAGATCATGGGACGGTTGAACTAGGGCGAAGACCACTTGCTGGTCTTCACTACGCCACGTAAGCCCTAGCAGTCACCTGGGTTGGGTCTGACAATCTAACCCAACACAAGTGACTGTTGGCTCTGCGTTGGGGTCTCTCTATAAATACCCTCTTTCACTAGAGGGTCAGGGATTCAATTCTCTATCTCTCTTCTATATTTGCTCTCACTCTGATCGATTACTCACTTTGGCATCAGAGTGTCTTGCAGGTACACCCCTCCTCCTCCCTACTTCTGACGAACAACCTTCAAATCGACGATGGGTGGCAGGTCACTGATTCCTCTCTGATCAGGTAAGACTAGTGGCGTCGTCTTTGGGAAACTAAGCTTCCCCGTTCATTCGAACAGAAGAACCAAAGCTTCCGATTTCAAATTCCAAGATCATGACTAACCCACGTCACGATGACGCTGTCCACAACTCCGCCTTCGCCCCAATCACCAACAGCGACGACTAGGCGGGGACATCCCACGGCCGTGAGGGCGACACCAGGGACGGCCAAACTGCTTCCTCTAAGTGGTATTTAACTTTGGACCAATCTCGTATCAAGAGTTTCCAAGATTTATCCGACACTTTCATCAAACATTATAAATATAATATGGATTTGGCTCCTGATAGAAGATAATTGTTGAGTATGTCGCAGAAGAGTTCAGAGACCTTTAAAGAGTATGCTCAGAGGTGGAGAGAGATTGCTTTGCAAGTGGAACCGCCTTTGGCCGAGAAAGAGTTAGCTGATTGGTTTGTCGATACCGTTCGTCCGAAATTCTATGAGAGGATGGTTGGTAGTGTGACTTCAAATTTTTCTGACATTGTTGTTATGGGTGTTAAAATTGAATTGGGTTTGAAAAACGGTAAAATGACAAGTACTTCTGGTGGCTCAGGTTCAAAAGATCAGACGAAGAAACCTTCATTCAATTCTCAGAAAAAGGAATAATATGAGACTAATGTTGTGTCTTCTGGTAGACGAAGAAATCAAGCCTATCAACAACCGCCGAATTATGCTCAACCTCAAGGTTATCCGATGCAATATGCTCAAGAACCTTATATGGTTGCCGTTGCACCTTCTTTCAATCAGCAGGTTCCTATGTACCAACCGATGCAACAGGCTCCCATCTATTAGCCTCCTAATTATCAACAAGCGCCCAACGCTCCTGCCTATCAACAACCGAAGAGTTAAGCTCCTCGCCATAATGGTCCGAACAGGAGACAATATAAGCCTTGTCCACCGATTCCGATGACCTTCACCGAGTTGTACCCCTCATTAGTAGAACAAGGTCTGATCACTACCCGAGCTTTGGCTCCACCTCCTAATCTGTTACCCGCAAATTACAATGTCGCCGCTCATTGTTTATTTCATGAGAGCGCGCCCGAACATGACCTAGAAAATTGTTATGCTCTTAAGAATCTTGTCAGAGATCTGATGGAAAAGAAGATTTTGTCGTTCGATGATCCTCAGCCGAATGTTAAGAGTAACTCTTTGCCTAACCATGGGGGTGTTAACGCTATTAGTGTTGATGCTGATGAAAGTTATATCCTTGATGTCGCTCAAATCAAGACTCCTCTTAAGATATTCTATTTGAAGTTGTTTGAAGTCGATTTAGTAACTACTTCTCATGTTGTATGTGCAAGTTGTGAAGTCAGTAGTAAGGGCTGTTTGTTGGTTTAGAATGATATTCAGAGATTAATTAACGATGGTATTCTGCAATTGGTTAATAATGTAAAGAAGGATGAGGTCGCTATGGTTGAGTCTGTCTTCAACTTGCCCGAATTAAAGGTTAAGGTGCCCGTGTTTAATTTGTCAGGGGCGAGTTCTTCCAAGCCAATGTTCAATATACCAAAGTCGGTTACTCCTGCGGTGAATCATCCTAAGCCGATAATTATTCAGAAACAGAGTCCATTCCCTTTCAGTGATCCTAAAGTTGTACCGTGGAAGTACGATGTTACAATGATTGACAAAGAGTCTGGGAAGGTTATTCTGAGGGAAGAGGTGAAGATTGATAGTGAAAGTGTGACTAATATCGCTGGGGCAAGTAGGATGACTCGCAGTGGCCGTGTGTACACACCCCGTTTCAATGAGGCTCCGCCTAAGGAAACAATTACCACTACCATTGCACCTGCCAAAGATAAGGGTAAAGAAGCAGTTACGAGTGATGAAGATGCTGAGTTTTTGAGGATCATCAAGAAGAGTGATTATAAAGTTATCGATCAACTTCATCAGACTCCTTCCAAGATTTCTATTCTATCTCTGCTGATGAGTTCACCCGCTCATAGAACGGCTTTACAGAAGGTTTTGACTCAAGCCCATGTAGCTCAGGACATCACTACCAGTCAGTTTGATAGTGTGATTGACAACCTTACCGCGTGTAATACTCTTAGTTTCAGCAACGAGGAGTTACCAAGGGAAGGTCCGAATCACAATCGTGCTTTACACATATCAGTGAAATGTCAGGAGGATAATTTATCAAGGGTACTAGTAGATACCGGTTCTTCTTTGAATGTTCTACCCAAAAGAGTTCTCAATAAGTTGGATTATAAGGAGGTTGCGGTGAAACCTACTTCATTGATCGTCAAAGCTTTCAATTTTGACTGGTCCACATGTTTTTAATATCACTTTCCAAGTCATGGACATCAATCCTAATTACAGCTGTTTACTTGGAAGACCATGGATCCATGCCGCTGGGGCAGTAACCTCTACTTTGCATCAGAAGATGAAATTTGTGGTCGATGAAAAGTTAGTTATTATACATGGTGAGGAGGATCTGATGGTCAGTAACCTATCTTCTTTCCGTTATATCGAGGCTGATGAAGACGCTTTGGAAACTTCTTTCCAAGCACTTGAGATCGCTAACACCGTTCTGTTGGAAGTTGAAGAAATAGTGGGCCAGGGTAATCCATATTTTGCATCTTTGAAGAGCACGAGATCAACAATTGACAGGGGCATCCCTAAAGGTTGGGGAGAGGTAATCGACATCAAGACCAAGACTAATCGCTATGGGTTGGGTTACAGACCAACTCAAGGTAGAGCTGCTACAACTGCTGAAGGACGTCCGAAGGTTATTCAAGAAG